TCGACTGGTTCGGGGGTGGGCGCACGTCCACGGTTCATTAGGTGATTAGATCGGCGGTTCGGCATCTGCAACACGGATCATATAAATTTTAGTGTTTGTGCCATAAGTGCTTATAATTCAATATGATTACATGATTTTGACGATTTAAAGAAAAATATTTATACTATCCAACACTCATTACAAAGAAGCAATAAGATCCATAAGATGCAATAAGATCCAAAACATTCATTACATGGGTTTTATTACATAGCATCATCTCCAGTAGCTACACTTGAAGACTTGCGAGAATTGTACTACGCATAGTGTCTCATAATACATCTCATAAGGGGTACATCATGGGGTACAACTTATGGAAGCCACTGACATGACTCATGACCACGCAGGGTCGTCTACTCTAACTCGTACACCGCAGCTAGGATACGACTGTTCTCGATCTCAATCTCCTCGTCAGACTTGTGAAGTTGGGACACGTACTTTAAGGCCTCGGCGAGCTCCTCAGTAGGCTTGGCTCCAGGTAGGGTAGGGCAGGCGTCTAGGTTGAGGCGAGTTGGGGCTAACTCAAACTCCTCTATCCTAGGCTTCATCTTGCTACGAATCTCCTTGGGTAGCTGATCCCACATACCCTTCATCTCCCTGAGGCGCTTCTTGTCAGACTTCTGCCAAGCCTACCAAGTCCTCTCACACTTGTCCTGTAGGTACTCGTTCTACCTGAGTGCCTCGATCAGGTGACCCTGGTTGCGAACGGCCTTCTTCCTGAACTCCTCTAGCTCCTGGGTCATGGTCTTGTTCCGAGATTGGATTTTCAACATATCAATTCCCTTGGACCTCTCTCTGTCTCCTCTGCGGTTGAACTCGGCCTTCTTGTCGTCCAACTCTCTCTGCAACTCCAAGACCTTGCTGTCGAGGTAGCAGTTCCTGTTGCCAAGGTCGGCTGCTTTGTCCTGTAAGTCAGCGACCTCGGCTCTATGGACTTCTTCACGACGGTTGAGTTCGTCCTGTAGCTTGGCAACTGTCTTGAGCAGACTAGCTCGCTCCTGTGCTCCCTGCAAGTCTCGCTCCTGATACTCCCACAGAAGAGCCCGGTCCTGACGTCTCTTCTGCTCAAGCTAGGTCACGTACCTGTCCTGCTCTAGTAGGTGGATAGCTGAGACGCGAAGGCATCTGTCCTCCTCTGCAAAGATAACTCTGCCGGCTACGAAACTCTGCTCACTAGGGGTGAGGCTGAGGTTGAGGGCCTAGGGAAGTAGACAGAACTCTGTCGTCTTTAGGTGCTCATAGTGGTCCCTCATCACTCTGCGAAGTGGCTTGTGTGAAACAGCTCGTAGTCCTTCCTCAACTGTGTCCTCTATAGTCAACTCGGTGAAAGCTGGGACAGAAGGTAAGGTGGTGCTAGCTGGGAACTCGGCTGAGGTGACAACCGGTCCTTCGATTCCTCCTTCCTAAGCTGACTTCCCGGTGCAGGTGACCTTGACAAGCTCATCAGGGACTCCTAACGTGACGAGAACTTGACAGAGGGTCTGTGCAAAACCCCCGAGCTCACGTAGGTCGAAGGTAAGCTTGGCGTGGTCCAGAGGTAGCGGTCCTAGAGGTGGCCAGTCGACGTTCGTTGCCATCTGCATGTTTCAAGGAACAGGTGTTAGCAGGTCAATAATAGATAAGCCTTGCATAGAAGTAAATGCAGGGTCGGTATATAACCGAAAGAGGGGCTGTTCACGTCCTATTCTATCGTCCATTTCTGAGGGTTTCGTCCTATGGTCAAGTATGGCTCTGATACCAACTGAAACGACCTGATTTCCACAAAGGGAAATCCACAGAGTCAAAGTGTAATAAGACCGTTGTGGATCATATTACCTAAATTCCAGTCGAATATCACATCCATACAACGATAATATCAGAGTACAAATAGTGCGGAATTACATAAATTATTACATCGCCGCATTGGCGGAATCAAAAGTAGCATTCATTCAGAATAGCTTGAAGATAAGATCGCCAAACTTGAGCGTAGGAACGAACCCCTCAACCGTCAAACTCCTCGGAGCTATACTCCTCAGCAGAACCTGTGTGCCAAAATTTATCAGTACGATTTGTACTGGCCACTCCCACCCTATGAGCATTGCTTTGTGGAAATTGGATGCAAGTTGGATATAAACAAAAGGAACCTATAAGGCTGGGGTTTCCTATTTATTAGCATATCAAGTTCATAATAATAGTTGGTCAAGTTTTAACACCATTCCCACACCCATTCCCTTAACTTGGTTGAAGTCCCTTCTCTTTCTCTCACGAACCCTAGCTATCCTATAAATGTCCTTCTCTCCTTTCTTCGTACCCAAATGTTGGTAAAGATCCTCGTACACTCTACCCTTTGCCACACTTACACCTCGCTTTGTAGTCTTCTTTGCCACCTTGTACTTCTCTATGTTGTCCATACTCCTGTCATGGTACAAACGTCTATAGCATTCTTTCTTCTCCTTAATAGCCCTTTGGACTTCCTCGTTCCACCACCAAGTATCTTTAGCCTCGTCTCCACTTCCTTTGGTTACTCCACACACCTCTGAGGCCATCTTCCGGATGTTGGTTGCCATCTTCTCCCACATGTTGTTTATGTCCTCTTCTTCCTTCCAAGAGCCCTCTTTAATAACCCTTTCCCTGAATACCTCTGACGTCTCCCCTTTCAGTTTCCACCACTTTGTTCTTTCAATCTTAGCTTGTTTATCCCTACGGGCACGCACCTGAAAATGAAAGTCTGCCACCAAAAGCTTATGTTGGGAAACAACACACTCCCCTGGTATCACCTTGCAACCCAAGCATGCTCGTTTGTCCTTTTTTCTTACGAGGACAAAGTCAATCTGGCTAGAGTGTTGTCCACTACTGAAAGTCACTAGATGAGATTCTCTCTTTCTAAAGAAAGTGTTGGCTATCATCAGGTCAAAAGCTACCGCGAAGTCCAGAACTTCCTCCCCCTCCTGATTCCTACTACCATACCCAAAACCTCCATGAATTGCCTCAAAACCTGCGCTTGTAGTACCTACATGCCCATTAAGATCTCCTCCCATAAAAAGCTTCTCACTACTAGGTACAGCTCTAATCAGGCCATCTAAGTCTTCCCAGAACTGTCTCTTAGCACTCTCGTCGAGGCCTACTTGGGGGCATACGCACTAATTATGTTCAAGACCATATCACCAATGACAAGCTTGACTAAGATAATCCTATCTCCTTGCCTTCTCACTCCCACCACACTATTCTTGAGGCTCTTATCAATCAAAACTCCTACTCCATTTCTATTCGTGGCTGTCCCTGTGTACCAAAGCTTGAAACCTGTATTGTCCATCTCCTTCGCCTTCTGACCCTTTCATTTAGTCTCTTGAACGCATAATATATTTACACGCCTCCTAGTCACGGTATCAACTAATTCTCTTAACTTACCTGTAAGCGACCCTATATTCCAACTACCTAAACAGATCCTAGTTGGTTCGACTAGCTTCCTTACCCTTCGCACCCGTCGACTTAGATGTGAAGACCCTTGCTCATTTTTCACTACACCCGGGCGCCGATGTAGCGTGCCACTGAGGATGCGATGACCCAATCCTTGCTCACTTGACACCGTGCCCAGAACACGACACGGTGCGTCACGGGGGTGATGACCCGACCCTTGCTCATTTAACACCATACCTGGGTTTCGATATGGCGCGTTGCTAAGAGGGTTACGCCCCAACGGTTTTCTTTCGGGTTTCATCTCCATTAGAATGGTTAGATTTAACGTTGGCTTGCCACACCTATCACAACCCTCCTCCTTTACCAGGGCTTGGGACCTGCTATGTTGAGACAACATAGACAGAGTTGCAGATATTATGAACCATCATTCAGTTGAAACCCAGCGAGGACAACAATATCTATTCTAGACAAATCATGCCGGAATGGCACCTATTACTCAAATACTAAGTCAAAGCAACCAAGTGACATTGTGCCACAACCTTACAAACATCAAGCATTTTATATAAAAGACAAGTCATCCACTGGTGCCAAGTGCGGCCAAAAACCTTCCTAGGTTCCTCCACCTTAGATTCGTTTCTTATCCTAAATTCAGTGTACACTCGGTAACTTGTGCCAGGGAAAAAGAAAACTCATTCAGTTGAAGCTAAACTCCTTGTGGGCGCCCACTGGTCAATCAAGTTCACCAATGCTTCGGGCAGGTGTAAGTTGTACACTCCACGCATCCTGTACAGTTTTTCAGATCTCATTAAGAAAATACTGGAGGTCACAAGTAATTTGACACAGGATTAGCAATCCATTCACAATCTGAGCAGCAACATTAAAAATGCATCATATGGCTTAACTTTTCTTACCTACAGTCCTGTAAAAATAGTAATGAGTTTCTTGAGGAATTCGAGCTTCGTTACGTCCCTGTAAAGATGCTTATATCAATACAACAGTAAAATCAACTAAAATAAGATAGGGAATTTCACAAGTCTTACAGTTTCTTGCCGAAGACTTCAATAGTTCCCCTTCCCCCTTATTGGAGACCTGCACACACTTGAGGATTTCCGCATTGCCCTCAGTCACCTTCTTGTTAAGAAGATTAACCTTAGCCTCAATTCGTGCCATCATAGGATCCTTGTCAATCTCATCATTGCTGGAAGATAGATTTATATCCTAAAAGAATTTTACACAAGCCAAGTCAACAAAAACAAGAGCTATAGAGATTTGTATTTAACAAAGTGAGTTCAGTTTAATTCTCAAGTACCTCTTGCGTAAGCAAGTCTGCTAGCTCTTTGTTCTGACCCAATTTGGAGTAAATGATTCTCAGCAGGAAAGAGTACTCCTCAACTGTGAACTTCTCATTTTTTTAGCATCTGATTGAAGGCATCATGTATCATCACTCTTCGGCCAATTTTATTAATTTTGCTCACGTCAAGTCGTCAATTCGTTATGTTACTTTAGCTTCGTTTTTAGCTTTCTAAATATCCGATTTGCTTTTATTTGTTGAATTACTTTATGCCAATATGCCCCTTGTTCTTGTTTTCATTCCTAATATCAAGAAGTTCACAGTTGAGGAGTACTCTTTCCTGCTGAGAATCATTTACTCCAAATTGGGCCAAAACAAGGAGCTAGCAGACTTGCTTACGCAAGAGGTACTTGAGAATTAAACTGAACTCACTTTGTTAAATACAAATCTCTATAGCTCTTGTTTTTGTTGACTTGGCTTGTGTAAAATTCTTTTAGTATATAAATCTATCTTCCAGCAGTGATGAGATTGACAAGGATCCTATGATGGCACGAATTGAGGCTAAGGTTGATCTTCTTAACAAGAAGGTGACTGAGGGCAATGCGGAAATCCTCAAGTGTGTGCAGGTCTCCAATAAGGGGGAATGGGGAACTATTGAAGTCTTCGGCAAGAAACTGTAAGACTTGTGAAATTCCCTGTCTTATTTCAGTTGATTTTACTGTTGTATTGATACAAGCATCTTTACAGGGACGTAGATGCTCGAATTCCTCAAGAAACTCTTCATATTTTTACAGGACTGTAGGTAAGAAAAGTTAAGCCATATGATGCATTTTTAATGTTGCTGCTTAGATTGTGAATGGACTGCTAATCCTGTGTCAAATTACTTGTGACCTCTAGTATTTTCTTAATGAGATCTGAAAAACTGTACAGGATGCGTGGAGTGTACAGCTTACACCTGCCCGAAGCATTGGTGAACTTGATTGACCAGTGGGCGCCCACAAGAAGTTTAGCTTTAACTGAATGAGTTTTCTTTTTCCCTGGCACAAGTTACCGAGTGTAAACTGAATTTAGGATAAGAAACGAATCTAAGGTGGAGGAACCAAGGAAGGTTTTTGGCCGCACTTGGCACCAGCGGATGACTTCTTTCATATAAAATGCTTGATGTTTGTAAGGTTGTGGTAAAATGTCACTTGGTTGCTTTGACTTAGTATCTGAGTAATAGGTGCCATTCCGGCATGATTTGTCTAGAATAGATATTGCTGTCCTTGTTGGGTTTCAACTGAATGATGGTTCATAATATATGCACTTCTTTGCTGTGTGTGATCTCACATGTGTTTATTTTTGGACGGAAATCTGATTCTTTTTGCTGATGAACACGCTGGAGGTTACCTTTTTTTTGAACATGAAAATTGGGATTTGGGGCCCTCATAGAATCAGGCAACCAACACACCAGGTCCAGGACGCGAAAATACCATGTTCCTTGTTCATCTTTTTCATCTCTCCCTAGCTCTACTTTATTATTTATATACTATTATATATATATGTTTATATATGATGAAAAAAATCTATTTATATTATTTTATATGTTTTTTATTATGCATATATTAGTGTTATCCTAAACGCTAAACGGTAAACAGTCGGTCACCTACCGTTTAGCCCATTATTCAGGCAAAACGGGTGTTTAAACGGGAAAAACGGCCGTTTAAACGGTCAAAACAACCGATTAAACGGAAACGGTGTACCACCGTGTAGCGTTTAAACGGTGTGTAAACGGGCTAAACGGCCGTTTAGGCTATATGGGAAAAAAAAGTTTATAAGGTGGTTTCGGCTCGCTCTTCATTTTAGTCAAAGCTCCCTCTGTGACCTTAACGGTGTTATCGCATCGCCATCTCTGGCGTGCCGCTCCACGCAACCAGTTGCCCGCCAGAACAGAAGCGCTTGCCACCGCCGCTGCTCTCCTATCCGCATCATCACCGGTCACCACCCATTTGCGTCATCTACAGGGTTGTAGGCCACTTCGGGTCGGGAGGTATCCCTCGTACACCTGCAGTCCTGCTCGCTCCTTTCGCCTGGTTCAGGCGTCCAGCGTGGACGTGTCTCCACGGGGGATGGCGAGCCTCGGAAGTCGAAAGGACGCGGTCGACGGACAGTGAGGCCCAGAATGGTGAGCCTCCGAGGGGCGTGGCCAGGAGCCTCCGTTGCACCGGCACCGGCGTTGGGTGGCCCCGCCTGCCATCCGCGTGGGGACTGGGACCATCTGGCCCGGCGGCGACGGCCGTAGGCAGCCGTGCCCGGCTGTGGCTGAGGTCGCGCCGCCCGGCCGGCCTCGAGAGCGGAGCCAATCCGGTGGTGTTGCCCACCCTCGCCCATCACCGGCCACGAGCCGGCGTCCACGTCCTGCGTTTCATCCTGAGTGAAATTTACACTTGAATGAATTACATGCCATTGATCAATAAAGAGAGCCGCATGTGTTCTAATTTGAGCTAACACAAACCCCCTGTTGAAGCCTTAATCATACCTTGTCATTTGTGGTTTCTATACCTGCCATGGTCATTTAGATACAACTATAGACAGCACAGTTCTACTGACATTAGGATGGGCACATAAATTGTTTGTATGATTGAGCAAGGGTGAAACTGAACCCTCTCATGGCCTCAATATTGACAGCACTATTTTGCTAGACATTTAAAATATTTTCTTTCTATTTTTACATCTTTGAAACTATTGTCAGCTTAAAAAAATAATCTAGAGAATTGAACACATGCTCAATTCAAAACTGAGTATTGAGATATGCTCTTCCATGCATTTATGCGGACACCCTCTGGGGGCTACAACAGGAATCAAACTACGAGAAGAACTGTTCCTTTTTTTTTTTGGCTGAACTTAGACATGAGCATTTGAAAATAATATCTATCCACATGTATGACATACATATAACATTTAATCAATGATGATACTATAATTGTTGTCATCTCCGCCATCCTTTGTGAGCAGACACACACAGGACATAAGAGGTGAAAGATAGAAAAGCAGTACTTGATTAGCCATAGGCTCACTCCAAACACTTACTTATTATCTGTAGTTATCTCAAATCACATCCAACCATAGGCCCTTGGATACAACATTTCTGTACTTAATCGTACACTTTTACTGAAAATGTGATGTTGTCTTATCCTATTTCTCTGCAATCGATCTGAGCAGTTCACTCATCGTGCAACAAAACTTATATACTGTCTCTCCATTAAATTCTAAAGCTCTTTGACCTAATACAAAATCAATATTGGCCATATACTGTCATGTGCATGGCTGCATGCAGGGGTGCTCCCAAGGCAGCGCATGGCCTGGCACAGCCCGAGGAGGCTGGTGGCTGAAAGGGCCAATGTCATTAAGGCTATTAATAGCAATTAAGGAGCAGCTAAAGGGGCCTCAAGTATGAAAGGGCCAGAGTCTGTGCGCCTAGCAGGGAGCTTAGCTCCTATATATTGTAACCAGCATCAATGGAATGGATTAAGCAATGAAGAAACAAGTTATCTCCTACCTCTCATCTACTTTGTCTTCAATCTCACCTCTGCTGCGGTAGCCAGGCAAAAACCCTGGCACCATTACCTGGCCTTGGAAAACCCCCAAATACTCTAGTCTCCCTCCACGCTGACTTTGCCCGGCCTTCCTCTTGGCAATGATTATCCACCCTATCCCTCGTATGAACTAAGGTTCACAACATATACACATGTTTTGTTGTTTTCCCAATAATTTTTGGATTTATAATGACTGTGCTGTTCAAATTTTCACATAGAAAATTAGTCTAACCCTTAGGCTTTCTCTTCTCATAGACCATCTATATTCGAGCAGTTCATGTTTATATATAAGACATTAACACCCATCTACGGTCGAGTTGGGATTGCTCCATGAGTCACATCTGTTCATCCATATATTGTATTGGATATAGTGGCCTGATTTTACTCCTTTTTTTTAAAAAAAAATGTCTACTGTATTTTACCACCTTTATGATTCTGCATATAAGCTCATGCAGGAAGGCACTCACAGCAGTTTAAATAATCTTCTTGATGCCATTTTTTATGTTGCGCAAAGTCACCATTTCAAATGCTAAATTAAATTGAACTAAGAAGCACTTGTTGCCCTGTGCCAAAATAGAGTGACCTGTGCTTTTCTACAGTGTGTCCAATATAAAACAATTAGTGTAATGTGTAAACCAATTTCAATGGTCCATGTTGCTCCAACAATCAACTGGTGAGGTAACCTTATACCATTCCCCTTCGATTTGTTGATTCACCATCATCTCACTGGTTGTACATGCATTTTGTTCACTAATTGGAAAGCTCGCAATTTTTCCTTCTAACAGAAGTGTGACCTGATGATTAAAATGCATACATTGTACAAAGACATGTAGAGTTGGGTGAGAAAGGAAAAACAGCAATTTGAATTATACATCAATCACCACAATGGGCTATCACTGTAATACTCTCTGAATTATCATATCAATGATGCTATAGTTTATGCCACCTTATATTCTTCCATGTTTCACATACATTTTTCTGGAATTACATAACTCATTGTCGGCACAATTTGTGTTGAACAACTGCCTTGAGAAGCTCAGGGTCTTTGGCTATGTGTCATGCATTGGAGGTGTATGAGGGAGGGAGGGAGAGGTAGCAGATATATTCATATATGCACTGAAGGACAATGTAAATGCTTTCATATATATATGCACTGAAATCCATGGTTGCTATTCCTGCAATACCTCTTGCATTGTGCATGCTTGTGTGACACAAAACTTACCTAGATCTTCTACAGATAGCTCTAATTAACTCAAGCTTCCTAATAGAGCCATGTCAATAGCTCAATTCCTTCTGCATTGCTGTATGAGTTTCAATTCTCTTGATTGTTTCCATGGTCTGTTATTGCAAACAAGAACTAACATATTACCGTGGAAGGTTAATAATGGTTTGTTATATGTACCCGTGGTTATATTCAACAAGTCTTGTGACAAAAAAGATATATTCGTTGTCCCCTTAATGCACTGATCTTTCCAAATTTTTAGTCGAATATAGACCTATGTGCAGTGGCGCTTGATAGTAGCCCATAATTCCAGAATTTGTGTTGACATTCACATTGTGCACTTCTTTTTGGACTACAAATTTTTTTTTGAAATCCCAACAGTTTTATCTGTTTAGAAAGCATAGACTAGATTAATACAAAATTGTCGGTGGAAAATGGACTACAAACTTTTCTTTCAAATCCCAACAGTTTTATCTGTTTAGAAAACATAGATTAAGATTAATACAAAATTGTCAGTGGAAAATGTAGCACATTCATGAATTATTGCCTGCCATTAGAGTACTATTCTTATACCTGCTCATTTTCCTAGAGCGCAGAGGGTTGTTAGATGAAATGAAGGCACACGAGAGTGTTTATATACCCAAGTGGTTGAGGCTTACTACTACTCTTTCTGCTCTCAAATTGATATTTTACCTGTAGCCAGCTTCTGTTTTTTTTTTAAACTTTTGTATGCACTTCTCTTTAACATCAGTGTCATCAGCACTACCTTAATATATTTTCAGCCACTGTCAATCAAGTTTAATGCTGAAACTATTACAAAGTGCTCCTGATGTCTTAGTTCTAGATCACCTCTTTACAATTTTGTAGTACCTGTGCTATTTCA